AGCTCCTGCTCCACGAGGCTGTTGAGTTTACAGGATGTCGCCGAGGTAACCCTCACCCCAGGGAGCACTTAACTTGGAGGAGTTTAATTCAAAGAGCTGCAGTGACCTATGAAAGCAAACACAGACAAAATAAACGGCAGCAATTTAAGCTCTAGTCACAAGTCAGTTCTCCCAGCACACAAACCAAACCCTGTTTCTCTCTTCCCTTTGCCTTCTTTACTTCCTTTAGTGCTTGGATCTGTTTCTTCATACTTTTAACTTTGCATTCAGTCCCCTCAGCTCAGCACCCCCTGGTACTCCTGTGTTACTCAGGAGTGTGTGTAATCTCCTCTTTGGCAGCCCAAATAGCAGGTTTTAAGGATATTTCTTCTTCTTAAGGCAGCAGACTGTGCTGAGCGGGGAGAAAGGGTAAAAGAGGTCTAGCACAGCTCGAACTGAGCTGAAAGTGTCACTGAAATTGGGAGGAAAACTCCTTAGCACCAATGCAGTATGAAGCAGAGGCATTCATGATTTATTGCAGCACTGGGTGCACAGGGGATGCTCCACCAAGCGTCCCTGGCTCCAAGAACTCCAGTCTTTTGTACACATAAATCATATACATTCAATAGTTTCCATACATCATTTTCCCAGAGTCATTATCCTAACCCTTCCCTTCATTAGAAAATCACACTTGATTACTGGTCCCAGGGCTCTGCTTTTGTGGCCACCTAGCAGCTCAGTCTGTGAATTTTTTCTGCCCTCCCTGTACTTTTAGTCCTTCTCTGTCAGTGCTTTTGCCTAAGCCAGGTGTACACAGCGATGGTTCCTTCATTCTCTTCTCTTCTGCTTCCATCCATCCTATGGTTCCTGCCCAGAGAGCATGTAGTTTAGAACACTCAGCTCCCCATTTCTAGCCCAGCAAGCATGTCCTATATGTCTTCTTTTAATCATGGTCTAAAACATACAGTCCCTCCATTTCTAGCCCAGTACTTGTGTTCTATACACTTTGTTATAGTCATCGACTAAGAGAAGAGTTCCCCATTTCTAGGCTTTGGTATCGATGAGGGGATGGACTGTGAGGGGAATGGGGCTGTGAGGACAGGGTGAGCTGTGAGGGCACACACAGGCTGTGAGGGCCACATGGAGGCTGTGAGGACACACACAAGCTGTGAGGACACAGGCTGTGAGGGCACACAGAGGCTGTGAGGGGAATAGGGCAGTGAGGACGGGATGAGCTGTGAGGGCACAGAGACTGTGAGGGACAGAGAGTGTGTGAGGGCACACACAGAAACTATGAGGGCACACACAGGCTGTGAGGGCACACACAGAGGCTATGAGGGCACACACAGGAGCTGTGAGGGCTCACAGAGGCTGTGAGGGGAACAGGGCTGTGAGGGCACATGGAGGCTGTGAGGGCACAGAGCAGCTGTGAGGGCACACGGAGGCTGTGAGGACACTCAGGCTGTGAGGGGCACAGATTGTGTGAGGGCACACACACAAGCTATGAGGGCACAGGAGCTGTGAGGGCACACACAGGCTGTGTGGGCACACACAGGCTATGAAGGCACGCAGAGGCTGTGAGGGCACACACAGGCTGT